ACATGTGTCACTTAGTTTGTCTCTCTCTCCCCTCCCCCCCCTCCCCATTATACGGTCCCCTTCTGCTACATTCCTGGATGGTATAGAGCCTAAAACCCCAATATGAGAGCCATCCCTCCCTTTCGCATCATTCTCCAGTAATTTTGTTTTCTCCTTGAGTGAGGTTTTCTTGGCTCCACATGGAAAGGAACTGGGCAAGAAGCCACACTGGGATGGGGTGGGTGGGTTTTGCTTTGGAGGAAATGTTAAGAAGTGTCTGGTGCCGTAGAGGCGTGATTTGAACAGAGAAAGCTCCAAGAGCAGAGAGGAGTTTACCGATTGAGCTGGAGGTAAGTGATCACTTGCACTCTTGCATGGGGCAAATCTTCTCCCTTAGTTTTTTTCTCCAATGGTCTTTACTCAAGGATGCCTGGGTACTTTGACCCAAGTTTTGCATCTTTCCCTTAGCTGCTTCCCCACTTTCCTTGTGAAGTGAGCAGCCTGTCGACAACCAAGTCTTTAGGAAAACATTTGCTCTGAGAATCGCACATGAGCGAATGAGACAGCCAAACCCAACTGGCTCCTATGCTTCAATGGAGGAGGGAACATATTTGTAAGAGTATCCAAATCTTATTATTAGGTCTTTTTTTCTATGGAGGCCGAAGGAGATGGAAAACCATGGCGGGACTCTTTCAGAAGGCCCCAGAAATGGAGATTTGATCATGGCCTGTTGTTATATTCTAAGCATCCTCATAGCCATTCTCTGAGGAAGTCCTGGAGACTGACTAGGAAGTCCTCAAAAGACTCCCTACCTGCAAAATAAATGAAGTGATACATAGTAGACAGAGCAGAGTTCTGTCTGCTGCCTTTTGGATTCAAAGAGCTGTTCCTCAGTGAATCCAAACCCTCAAGGAGACATCTGCAGCCTAAAATCAGCAGGTGTAAACCTGCTGGGGTATTGTAGTAATTAAAAACAGCCCAGGTAATTTGCCTGGATTAATTATCCTAATAAAAGTCAAATGTTTTTTCCACCTCCGCACCCCACCCAATTTCCCTTCATTGAGTGAATTAGAATAAGTTTGGAGATAAAGGAGTATTGAGGGGTGTAATTTATTCCTGAATAGGTGTGGCACAATCATTGCTGAAACTGTGTTGAGACTGACTCACAGGTTTTGCAGAAAGAGTTTGGTGTTTTTCAGAAGATAGAAGGCAATATCAGCTTTGTTAAGTGACATAATTAAAAATAATGGGTAAAGTTGGCTTGGGCTGTGTGATCACAATTACAGAAATAACCTGTATACAAAGAAACAGAAAGAAAAATGGATGTATGTTAGTGGAAACTATCTGTGAATTCAGCTATTTGCAACAATTCAATCCAAACTTTTACTGCATGTGGGTCTGTAGCAATCCAAACAAATGGGGTTGAGTGAGTTTTAAAGCAATGACTGTGAAAGAAAGCAACTCTAGAATGGACCACCTATCATAATATATGGGGAGTACGATTGTGTAATGGGTTTTAGGAAGTGGCTTTTGGCTTGGAAGGAGCTGGTTTGCTTTGCAAATGCTCAGTTGAGATCAATGTAAGTTGGTTGATCTAACTAAGAACTGATTATCTGTATTGTCTGCCCATCATGGTTCTCCAGCATTTCAGATAACTAGTGTTCTTATTTTAACCTGATTCCAGTCACTGACCAAGGGAATTTGGGGGCACCAATCATATGCTGTGTACCTGAACTAAGGATTCAGTTATTAATAGAGCAATTAATAGAATGGCTGGGTTCACACATTATTGAATTGTAATGTACAGCATCTTCTTGCCATTGGTCATGCTGCCTGGGGCTGTTGTTCAGCAACATAAGAACGTCCAAAGAAGTCCTTTTGAATGATGCCAATAGCCCATCTAATCCAATATTCTGTGTCTCATGGTGGCCGTCTGATGCATCCAGGAAGCTCATGAACATGGACAGATATTCATTCATCTCAGCTGCTTTCTAGCAGCTAACCATTCAAGGATGCTGCCTGTGATTCCAGAAGTAGTAAACAGTCATCAGATGAAATAGATGTTGATAGCCTAACTCTTCTATACCTGAGTCCCTTATAAAACGGTGCAATGATAAATTAGTGTCCATCGCCTTATATGAAGGCAGCAAAATCCACAGTTGACTCTTAATATCTGAAGGGTTTCTGATTTCTCATCTTAGTTCTTTTCTTTGGGTTCCAACAACCCAAACCATTGAACGATTGTTACTCATACAATCAGTTCACCTCATAATGTGGACATCATGACATTCAGTCCATTCTAATCATATTGTTGCCATTTCCTGCCTTTCTCCCACCCACAGAGAGAAATTCTATGTCTTTAATAGCTTCATGAAAGACAGAAATCCAGGAAGTGAAGCTTTACCCATCATTGCATTTCCATGCTGGAAAAAATTCTGTTATTTGTTAGCTTTCTGTTCTTCATGCAGAAATTAAGACCACAACAGACCTGCAAAGGGAGACGAGAAAAGATGGAGGGTGATCTTGGGCTGGTTTTACAGGGAAAACCAGGAAACGCAACCAAATTCAACCAGAAACAGGTAGAATTACACTTGAGTACAGATTTGGTTTCAGAAGGGGGCAATGTAGGTCATCATAATAGCTCTTTCTAGCCCATATTAGCATTATATACCTACAGCTGGGCTCCCCTACTGAAGAAAAAACATTCTTCATATTTTCATATGGATATGAAGTGACTGTTTCCATACCTTTAGCCAGAACAATGCCTCAAGCTATTTCTGAAGAACCAAAATGCCAAAAACATTCATTTTGGCATGTGAACTGCCTGGCAACAGCACAGTGAACTGCCACATGCCAAGGAAAACAGCTCTTGACATTGCCTTAGAAAAATAAATGCCCACATTTCCTTGCAATATGAAATAACTTGAATATTAAAAAGAAACTGAGGCCCAGTCACAGGGTTGAAATAAAAAGGGCAGTGCAGTAGAACTTCTAAGTCAGCAGGCTCATAGAAAAGGGGGAGGGGGACTTGCATTTTTTATGTAATTGGCTCTCGACCTAATCAGTAAGCATGAAAGAAGTACTATACCATTGTCCTACCACCCATTTTTAAAAAATATTTAACTGCAATAGTTCAGGGTGGAGGCCAAAATCCCTGTTGGCATCCTTCAAGAGGCCCCTCTGAGGCCTCTGCAAATGATTGGTGAGTTGAGGACTGGTGCAAATTACTTGGCTGAGTGAAGCAGATGAAGACAGGACAGCTGACCATCCACCATGCCTCCAGGCTGACCAAATTATTCTGGCACCTGAAGCTGAAAATACTCTCTGGGAGTATCAATAAAACAATGTATTAAATAAGGCACTATTCTGCTAGTGTTCTTCAGTGGCTCTATATATCACCGAAGACCCTGTCTTGCTTTTTCAAATGTCAGGGCTGCAGAGCTCCTGGTGTATGAACCTAGCAACCACTCTGTTTTTTAGGAAATATTTGCTGTATATAGTGCGTCCCATAAGGCACAGTGTGGACGTGGAACCTTAACCCTAACTTAACTGGAGACCTTAGGGTTCAAGTGCTATAACCAAACAGGAATGTAAAAAGATTCACAATCTGATTTCTGTTCACTCCTGTCTCCTAGATCCCATCATGCAGATATCCTACTACCTCAATTCAGAATGAAATATGCTGAGAATAGAAGTTTTTTGTAGGCACTGTTGCTGGGCACCAGGCTAGAAACCAGGAGACCATGAGTTCTAGTCCCACCTTAAGCACTAAGCCTGCTTGGTGACTCTGGGCCAGTCATTCTCTCTCCACCCCAGGAAGAAGGAAATAGCAAGCTACTTCTGAAAATGTCACCAAGAAAATTGCAGAGATTTGTCCAGGTAGTTACCAGGAGTCAAGACTGACTTGAAGGCATAAAACTATTATTTATTCATAGTGCCATATAATACTATAGAACCACTGGCTCTGGAGAAGTTGTTGAAACCCAATCTCCAACAAACCCAGACAGCTTGTCCAATGTGAAGGATGCTGCGGTTGTATTTTACTAACATCTGGAAGGTCACAGACTCTCCAACCTTGCTACACAAAATCCTTAGGTTCAAAGATGATGTCATTAACTACTAGTTGTTGGAGAATAACAGAATAGGAGTACTAGGGCTTTCATATGCTGCTTATGAACTACCTAGAGCAGTGTTGTCCAGACTTGGCCACTTTAAGATGAGTGGACTTCAACTCCCAGAATTCCCCAGCCAGCATATGTTGGAGTTGAAGTCCACTCATCTTAAAGTGGCCAGGTTTGGACAACACTGACCTAGAGGTATCTGAATGGCTTAACAAAATGTGCCTTTCAAATATGTTGGAAATACAACTCACAGATTTCCTAGTCAGCACAGTCATCCCAGTGTATCTGGATGGCACCCCTTTGCGGAAGACAATTCTGATGTATTTCAGAATCAAAGCATTGATACAAATGGGTAACTTGATGCCAGGAGAGATTTGGATTGGCTCTGGGCAAGCAGATATCTCTGAGTACTGTTTTGACAACTATGGAACAAAGGTGAGCTGCAGTGTAGCAGTTAATGGGGTTATTTTACATATTAGATGGGGGAATATCTGGATTTGCCATTTAATGTAAACTCAACAGGAAAAGAATCTGCTTGCAGCTCTCTGATCAACATATATGCAGAGCGTAAGATACCTGACATATTCACCCTTGAAACATTTTGATGAACACTTAACGAAATGTGAGAATACATTACAACATTTTGTCACAGGCCTATTTCCACCACGCTTTCACTATGACTACAACTTTATAAGTTTGTGAATTTAAGCAGATGGGTATGCTGCAATTGTGAGTCATTTGAGCTGAGAGAAACCATAATTCTGCAAAAAGTGGCGAGTTTTATAGTGAAACTTGTAGCCTAGCAGTGTTATAAACTGGCCCTATTTTCAGATTTATATTTCTCAGAAGCGTTGTTAAACATTTACAGATGCTGTTTCAGTTTTCAAGAAAGTTAGAAAAATCCCATAATAAAATGGAATAATATCCTTGGGAACCTCAATCAAGTATCAGATTTTGCACTTCATCCGGTGTGTAGAAGATACTTGGAATCACTCCCATTTTATAGGTGTTTGGAGCAGGCCTAGATCTAGGTTTAAGCAAGCAGCTTTGCTATCATCGGGGTAATATGATCTCCCATTTGACTATAACATGCTCACAAATAGTCATATTGCTTCTGCACATCACCAAGCTTTAAAGAGACATTCCTTTCTCCCCTAAATTCTGCTATTGATTCAAAATTCCAAAGCTGCTGTGTGGGAGGGCAAGACAGCACTTTGTGATCATCCATG